CCCCGCCTGCGCCTGCGCGCGCTGCGGTTTCCAAGGCGACCGCGCGCCAACCCTCGCGCCGGGGCTGCGCACGCAGCCGTGCGGAGTTCCCTGGGCGCCCGGGGCTGGAGAGCGGCTCCGGGGACAAGGACGGGGACGGGGACGCGCTGTGCGAGTCGAATCCTCGCCCCGCTGGCGCCGGCCCAGGTGACCTCGGGGAAGGACGCTGCCGTCACTCGAAAATCCCACCTCGGGGAATCTGAGAGCCCTTCCGTCTCTTAAAGTGCGGTGTCTGTGATGTTTCGTTTGACATCTCGCAGCGACTTAAGAAGGATTTTCATGACAGCAAATTATTTTTGCTTCCGCCTCTTGTCACGACTATTTAGACAATGTAAGAGCGCCCTAGACACAGACGGGCCCTGCAGATACTTCTCCCGCATGGGTGATGTCGTGGAGTGCCAGAATCGCCTGATCTCTCAGACCCTGTGCTGAGCCTCGGTTAATACAGGGATCAGACTCTGCTCCAGGTCCGTTCATTGCAAAATGTTGAGCTCGTGCTGCGTGAAAGTCCCCGGAGCGAGGAAGTGGAAGGGGTACCAAGACGGGACTGCCCGGAAGCCAGGCAGCGCGCCAGGCCTGTGTCACGATGGAAACAGAGTCCGTGCGCCACAGAAAAGGAAGAATAACGTGACTGAGGCTGGATATGTATGGAGACATAAACTGACCTCGCGCTGGGTGGAGTTTGCACAGGCTGGGGCGGACAAGACCTGCTCCATTCAAGTGGGGGAAATGGACGGGGCTTAGAGGAGAGAAGTGACAGGGTGGGTCCGAGGACCGAAGATTAGATTAGACTCAAGTTTGAGGCAGATGCTGCCGGATCCAGGTTGAGGAAAAGCACTGAATTAAGAGCTAGCCAGGAGGTCTTTGCCTCTTGCTCATGAAGAGTCGCAACACCCCCACTGCATCGCTGGGGTTTGATCAGATGTTTCTGAGCAAAATTTTTATAAAATCAGATCTGCTTTAGGGGGCCGGGAATATAGCTCAGCGGCACAAGTGCCTGCCTCACAAGTGCAAGGTCCTGAATTCGAGTCCCCTTACCAAAAAAACAGATCTGCTTTAGGACATAATTTTGTAGAGCTCACGCCTGTAATCCCAGCACTGGGGAGGCTGAGACAGGAGGATAGCGCTGAGTTCAAGGCCAGCCTGAATTGCATAGGGAGACACTGTCTCAAACAAAAAAAAAAAAAAAAAAAAACTTTGACGCAGTTACGAGAAAGGTAGTAAAGATCGAAAACCGCTGGTGTACTTGGTAATCTGCCCAATGGAAAGGGGAGATGTGGTCAATGGCATTTTCCTTTTCACTTAATGACATGCTTGCTCCCTAGTCACCCAGAGTAAAACCCTCAGAGCCTATGGCCTCTCCTGCCCCTTGCCTCTCATCCCCGGGCTCCTCTGAAGTTCCCCAATGCATGTCCCACGGCGGCTCCATGGCCCTCCGAACTTAACCTTAACAGCTCCAACTGGTTGGCCTGCCTTGGTCCTTTGCCCTCCAATCTATTCAGAAAACCTTCTGTTTGTTTGTTGTTTGTTTTCAATGCTGGGAATGGAACCTAGGGCCTGCCACATACTAGGCAAACTCTCTGTCCACCCCACCCCCGAGAAATAGCTTTCAAGGAAAAATTCCTCTGCTTAAAATCTAGTAGCTGCCACACCTTCGCAGGTAAAGTCTAAATTCCTCCGTTTAGCTGACAAGCCTGTTCAATCAGCTTCTGCCTAGTCATTCTGATCTAATGTCTCAGGCCCTTCCCTCGCACCCGATACTCTCTGCCCCGCTGCGCTACACCGGTTCCAGAACATTCTGTGTTCTTCTGTGCACCCTTTGCTCTGTCTGGTATCCTTTCCTTCTCTTGTTGACAAGACATTTTTACCTCAAAAGTCACCTGTTCAGTAAAACCTTTCTTGACCACTCCCAAGCACCGTGAGGCTCCCTCCACTGTAAAACACAAACCACAGACATCCCAAAGCAGTATCACTGCCGCTCATACTCTCTCACTTTCCCCGCTGGACTCAGATGTTTCAAGTCAGGCTCAGTAACTGATTTTTGGTTTCCCAGCCCCTGAATCATAGTACTTTATCTGCTCACCTGTAAGAGTTGAGTGTGGATAAGAACATCCAATTTTGCAAGAAACATTTATAGAAGAAAAAATACATGCACACCTTTCTCCAAGTGTAGTAGCACACACCTGTACTCTTAGCTACTCAGAAAGCTGAGGCAGTGTGGCAAGTTCCAGGCTGTCTCTGTCTCAAAACAAAACAAAAATAAAAAATAAAAAGCCCGGAGGGAGTGTAGCTCAGTGGTAGAGCACTTAGCATGCGCAAGCTCTGGGTTCAATGTCAGCCACTGCAAAAACAAGTAAGTCCCCCAAAAACCCATTTTCAGTATACGTGTATTTATTTGTATTTGTAAAAGTGTTTCAATGATGTCATAGACATTTTATGGAAATAAGTGCTACATGTTCATATAAATAAGTGTTCTGTTAATCGAGTGCTTATGCTAGTCCCCAAGAGACCAGAGCAAATCAAAATGAATTCATATCACCCAGACCTTTGGGAAATCAGGAGAGTGAGAGACACTAGCTCGATAATAGCTAACTAGTTTTAGCAGTCAAGATGAGGAGCTCCCCCTGCTTGACCCTAGGAAGGACGTTAGAAGAAGAAAATCTGTTTTTTGTTCTCTTGCACCTTTTCTCTGCCCTTTTCTGTCTGGAAAGCCAAACTCCTCCACTCAGCTCATTAGAGCATCCAATCTGTTTCGCAAGATAAAGTATTGCTTGATTCTAGAATTGCAAATAAAAGCAAATGCAGCCGGGTGTGGTGGCGCACGCCTGTAATGCCAGTACTTGGGAGGATGAAGCAGGAGGATCACTGCAAGTTTGAGGCTAGCCTGGACCACAAAATGAGCTCAAGTCCAGCCTGAACTGAAGAGTCAGACCCTGTCTCAAAAAAAAACAGAAAAAAAAAAGGCCAAAAAAAAAGCAAATGCAGGTCTTTAAATTTACTGTAACTTTTATCTTTTGACACTATGTTTTTGGTACTAGGAATCGAACTCAGGACCTTGCACTTGCCAGGCAGGTGTTTGTGCCACTGAGCTATATCCCCGGCCTCAACACTAGGTACAGTATAGTGAGTTATAGGAAATCACTGATTCCATACATTTAATTATATACTTCTGATTTAATTAAAGTACTAACTAACATGACTAAAAGAGATATATTGAAAATAAGCAGACAAAACAAAACCGAGCAGTAAGCAGTGAAGCCCTGTACTACTTCATACACTATGAAGGCAAATACCAGTGCTATATCTTGGTAACAGCAACTAAACCAAATGTTCCAGTGCCAGATAAACTTAAGAGAATTCTTATATTATACGTACAAACATAGCATAAGTCATTGAAAATTTGTATAATACAAGCTATCAAATACAACAAATTTCTTCATAAGAAGGTTGTAGATGAACACTGCAGTAAAAACTAGAACAAAACATAAAAGTAATAAATGTGAAGTAGTTCTAATACTATATTAACACATAAAGGCAAATATGTTACCAAATATCAATACACATAAAATACCAAATACAAGGGGCTGGGGATTTAGCTCAGCAGCAAAGCGCCTG